CAGCGTCTATCTTTGGGGAATTAGTCTGGAATGGGTCACTTGGTCAAGTTCAATTCAGAGTTGCAGAGGCATTATTATGCGCTCCCTTTTGTTTCCACTGTAATTTGCATCCAGTTAAAGACTAGTGGTACTCCACAAGACGTTTAGGACTAATACTCCCAGCGGGACAGAAATCCGGTGCTCCGGGCAGGCGCTGAGCGGCTCCTTTTCCAAGGTACCCTAATAGGGCCCTATCAAGCTGCAGCATACCAGCCCAAACGCCCACCGCCAGCCATAATATCCGACCTTTCCTGATGCTCGTATCGCTTCGTTTGCGAAGTGGCATATGAAGCGGAGGAATCGAAGCGGCTGCGGCGCTACACGTATGAGAGTAAATACATGCTCCCGCACCTAGCGAAACGGCTATTGGCACAATGCCAACGGGAAACTCGTCCGAAATTGCTTTCTAAGTCGTGTAGAACAAAGGCTTTTGGCACTATTGAACTATTCCTACCCCAAAAACTCAAAAAAATTTTCGCTGAAACGTTGCCTATAGATGTAGTTCGATGCCCTGATCACGAATATCACATTCGTTTTGAGCGCTGGCGCCATTTGGCGTCATGGTGCCATGTCGGATTCGTAATCAGGACCTCAAATAACCACCAGATACAAGTTTTCATCGACTTTGGTGAAAAAATGGTGGCGCACAATGGCGCCAAATGGCGCCAGCGCTTGAAACGAATGTGATATTCGTGATCAGGATGTCGATTAACCCCATATACAAGTTTTCATCGACTTTGGTGAAAAAAGTGGTGCGCCAAATTGGCGCATAATGGCGCCAAATGGCGCCAGCGCTCGAAACGAATGTGATATTCGTGATCAGGGCATCGAATTACATCTATAGGCAACGTTGCAAAAAATTTTTTTGAGTTTTTGGGGTAGGAATAGTTCAAGTAGTGCCAGGCTTTTTTGTAGGTTCTTGACCACTTCACTTCGCTTCTTCGCCGATTCTCCACTAAATAGCATCCGTGCTTTCATTTCAGACCGATTACCGAATTATCGTGCCTTAAATCTTTGGAACTGCTGACGTTTTTGTGCTCCCTGACAATGCTAATAACATCTGACATAGACAAAATATTTAATTTTTTGTCCTAAATCTTTAGTTTACACTCATGCTACAAACGAAGACTCTCGATGTTTCGATATTCCCCCAGGAACAGCATGACCTCCGTTATTTTCGAACCGCAGTGTCTTAGCATCAAAGAGAAAATCACTGTGTCCCTCCTCTTTAAGATAAAGAGTGTTTAGGGCTTACAAACAATCTCTAACGCAAATATTTGATTCAAAAAGAGACGCATTCCTCTGACTGATAGCAATATTTTGAGTTGTCCTTATCATTTAGAACAGCTCCTCATGTACTCGGCATCCCTTGTTCACTATAGTTTTCCCCTTCCAACAAGGTGTAACCAGTCTTGAAGAGCTTCACGTGGACAACGCACTTGGTCCAATTGGTAGCGCTACTGGATTTTGACCGTTGCCATATAAAGAATGTGCTGAGGATTGTTCCCTATTTCTAGAAGGTACCTTGAACCCTTCGAAGAAGGGGTGGTCCGTTTTGATGTGCTGACATCATCTCACTTAAGATCTTGGATATATACTACCTCAGATTGATCTGAGTTGTAGTAAGAAGGTCCTTTCAGAGATCACA